TTATAAAACATTTTTCTTTGCAAATTCAATGATTAGAAACAGTAAAATTTTATTTTCTAACCTAATGTCTCAAAGCTGGTGGTGGTGGGATCAGTGGTACCTGAAGACATTTGTTTGTACATTTAAAAAAGCATTATGATATGGTTCTTAGTCTTATCAGAAAAATGTTACATTATCACAACAAAGAGTTTTTCATTGGTACATTATTTGCGCCAGATGGATAAACAGTGTGTACGCACACAAAGTTTATTCCCTGCACACAATCTGTGTAATAATTTGGGTTCAGTGTCCAGAGCTCCAAAACACAACACACTGTTACTCATGTGTCTGTCTTTAGTAAAAGTATTAAACTTAATGTACATAAATCAACATTTTTTATAAACCCTGGAGGATTCTTTGACGTYATCACTTCTGTTATTAATTTCAGTCAGCTGTTTCTGTTCTGTTGTGATGAGAGAACTGAGACATAGAACTGAACACAGGACCAGTTTGAGTTTGGTATAATTTTTGTTTGTTTGTGTTTCCTTTTGTTGTCAAGTCTATTTGATTTGATTTGGTCATTTTTACACACAAATTACTTTTATAAAAAGTTTAGTTTCCATGTCCAAACATGGCAGAAATGGACATCCGATTTGTGCAGAAACATTTCAGATTTAATAAACTTTTACAAGAGAACCAAGAAAAAGCATACATTTATAAATCTAGATGAATTTRCACTTTTTGTTTTGTTTTTGTGTGCACACAAAGTTTGAGGACGTTACAAAGAACTTAAAACATCTGAGTCTGATGTGAAGTTACTCACCAGTAGTATTAATGAAGATAGCATGACTGATACTGCCTTCACTTTTACATAGATATCTTCCTGAGTCACTATTGAGAAAGTTTTGAAAGATCAGGTAGGACACCCCATTATTCTGTTTTAAAGTTTTCCACTCTGTTTGAATGTGACTGTTAAAGGTGATGTTGACCCAGTCATTTTCCTCTTGTTTAGCCCAGTAGACTGCAGGAGGTGAACTGCTGCAGAACTCAACTGGACATTCAACCCTGAGTTCTTCTCCAGGATGCACTGTATGAACTGTGTGCCGGCGCACCATCACACCAGGTGTGCATTCTTTACCTGCAGGACAAAACACAACATAATATACAATCTGTGCACGAGTGCTTCTCTTACAACAGTTTTATTATTTGAACAGAAGACCAAACATGGTCACAGAGGGATGTGCAGGTGTTTTTCATGCTGCAGCTGTGTCCACCAAGTTCTGGTTCACTCAGACAGCTTCAACCACACTTTAAGCTTTGTGGCTTTGTGAGCTGTGCCAACTGAAATACATGTTTATTAAATTTTAGTTCATTTTATTGAACATTAATGTGTATTGGATTTAAAACAAAGTTGAGTAAATTCCACTTCCAATTTTTTTAATTTACAGTATGTGACCTACATGAAAATAGTCTATTTGTTAACATCAGTCTTTCCCGTTGCAAACTTCTCTTAATGAACGTCTGTTTTTTGGTCATAAAGTCAGATTGAAATCAATCAAAACCAGGTTTTACTTTCTGTTTAGTTCCTTTAAAATCAAAAATTAGGTTTAGATATGTGC